GAACCTCGAAATACTGCAGTGACTCACGATGGGCTTTTCTGGATTCGAAATTCCTCCCTCCTCCGCTCATCCAATTCTTCCTTTCGCTTCCGCGCTTCCGCCTTTTGCTTTTCTTCAGCTTCCTTTTGTTCTCTTCGTCGCTGAGCCTGAACTTCCCTATGGATTCAATCGCCCTCGAATTCCAATTAGAAAATCGCAAAAGAATACAAAGAATATTTAACAAAATAGCAAAGGATTATGAGAACACTCCCTCCCCCCGCCAAGTGGAGCAAAATTAGTGCCCTATGATTAATTCACTTACATAGCCAGATCGAAGTTATGGAAGTGACTGAAAGCCAATTCTAGCTGGTTTGAACAGTGCAGTGCGAGACGCAAATTCAGCAGCTGACCACCTCAGCTTTCATTCGCAAGTACTTCGGGACGGACAACTCGTCCCTGCCGCCGCGAAACACTTCGCACCCACCCCGGCAATGGTAGCCGTTGCTTGTGTAGCAAAACCAATCCTACCGCTTTTTGAGTAGCTATGTTTATCTGGTTTATACATAGAAAGATTTTTCGTTGAAAATTGGAGTTTGCGCTCGTATAATGAGTACCTCTCAGTACATTCGTCATTTTAGACCATAAGAAGAAATAAATAAAGTTATTAGAATCCTGCTTACTCTTAACGCTTTCTCCTCGCGTTCTTTACGGATTCGCTCAGCTCTTTCCTTACACTGCTCCTCCCGCAATTGCGCAGCAAGCTCTTCTTTTTCCCGGCGTAAAGCTTCAGCTTTGCTCCTTTTCGCCGTCTACAACACAACTGCGTAAAGTATACAGGTCATTTCTATAAACTCGAAACATATAGAAAGCCTCAAAGAAACGAAAAGCGGTAGCATGAAGGCTCACAAGAATGTTCGTCACCACAGTCGCCGCCTGAGTGTGGGCCGACCTCGTAGGCCGTACCGGTGTGTGAGCCATCGGACGTCTCGGAGATAAGTTCCGTGCAATGACCTACGAAATCAATATTCATAATCAATAATTCC